GTGTGTGTGTGTGTGTGTATGTGTGTGTGTGTGTGTGTGTGTGTATGTGTGCGTGTGTATATATATAAACAATACACACGGCCATGCATAGACACACCAACCAATTGCAGTACCTTTGCAGAAGCTCTTCCAGCACAACCAGCGCGCGTTCGACATTCTTAATCATCCGTCGTAGCACACGCGAGTATCGCAACCCAATGACCACACTCGACGGACACTCTCTGTGCAGATCCTCGGCATGTGCTAGAAGTGGTCTCTCATCGGTGTGTGGCGGGGTTGGGGCGGGCGCGGGATCTGCGGAGTGGCTGGCCTGTGCCTGGTGGCAGTGCGGATGTGTTGGGATGGTTCGGATCAGACGATGTTAACGTATATGAGCACAGTGATTGTTCAATACTAGCGTACTGGGCGTGCAGGGATTGTATTGTATGTGCATGTTAATAGTTCACCGTGTCAGAGTTGACGTCGCTGTGGCAGGTCCCGTTGGCGTTTCCTGACAACGAGTGCGTGCGTAGTGATACCTGTACGCAGGGCCGCAATGGGTACGAACAATGAACACTGCGAATGTACAAACCAAAACACTAAATGTATCCCATGACCAGCCGTATCATATCTGCTGAACATATGTCACACGCGTAACAAATCCGGTGAATTACAACCCGTCGAATGGCCCAAAAGAAGATCACTTGGTGTAGCGCACGCCGGCTGCATTGCCCCACCTCGGTCGCCGTCGATGGCCATGTTAATGTGACTACTTCTACGGGTACACTCACACACGCACATGCACATAAGCACACATACACACATATACACACACAGACACGCACACACGCACATATCTACATATACACACATACACACGCACACGCACACACGCACACATATATAAATGTCCACTAATACACACACCCCAACAACCTACCTTCATATCCGCCTCGCACCACTTCCACAGGTATTCATAGCTCGCAAGCAACGCCTCCACGCGCGCCTTCTCGGTCTGCAGATTGTTGATGAACTTGGCGTGGCGGTCGGTGAGTTTGTTCTTTTTCAGTGTCTCTGAGCGATGCACGCCCTGTTCAACCGTTTCTTTGGCAAAGGTGAGACGGCCGATCTTGACCTAAGCCGTGGGAGTGTGTTGGGTGTGTTGTACTTGTCAAGGGGTGTGGATAGCGTTTATGATATCGGTATGGATTGAATATGGTGCATCAACGGATAGAGCGGAGCTCGAGGTAGGTACGTACGGAAGCTACTCAATACAAACGCCCCCCCCTTCCCTGCGCACACACCTATGAGTTTGTATGAACCAGGTCAGATACCATACAGACGACCGGAAAGCCACACACACAATAGTGAGAAGAAACTCAAGCACGCGCATACACAGTGACGTAAAACACTGAACACGCCACACGTACAGGAATAGCAACCACCAATAGGGCACAGACTCAAGGCTGGGCAATAATACTAGCAGCGACATACACACGCAGAGAGGCAATGACAGCACACTCAACACCATATACTCATGGAGTGAGGCTAAACTACGCATCTCGTTGCACGCACCTGGGAATCACGCGAGAGTGATGGGTGGCTACAGATCCAGATGGTGGACATCGCGCACAAGCTCGGCATGTCATAAACACCCAGCACACACTTAACAACAACATGCGTACCAGAACTACGCCTACTCTGCACTTCGCACCCACCTGCAACCGGGCCAGATTGATGAGCGGCTTCAGGTCCAACTGGTTCAGCACGGCCGCCGTGGCCCAATCCACCATAGCCTTAGCAGCGTCGTCCATGTCTTTGTAGCACAGGCCTCTGTTAGTGTACAGCAAGCCCAGCAGCACACCTTGTCTCTCCGCGTCTGTCTGTTCTGGCTCGAGCACCAGGCTGCGTTCCCGCGTTCCCGCGTTCGTGTGCGTGTGTGTGTTTGTACTGGGGTGTGCACGGATGTCTTCAATCACCCATCCTCTATCCGCATCTGTATCCGTACGCTTGTGTGTACCCTGGTCCCTGTCGTTGGTGTGTAGTTGTGGGTGCGGCTCTGTATTCGTATCGGTATACCTCACTACACCCGTGTTCGCGGGGTCGCTCGTATGTGCGGCCCAACCGCCATCGGCGGCCGTGCGGAGTACCACAATGTCCGGCATATTCACATCAATCTCCTCACAAGTGCTCGCTAACGGGCCGGGTATACCGTCGCCTGTACTGACATCCGGGGTCATTCGCCTAGTGGAGTTGGGGGGGGAGTGTGTCTGAGCCACGCCAGGCCCGTCGATCGGATCATCCTGCACCCAGTGTTGGGTACATTCAATGTTATCCGTCATAAGGCCATGCTTCGGACTGTCTGTCTCGTCCCGGTCTCCGTGAGTAGCTACGTTATCTCCCGCTCCTACCGTATTGTTCAGTATGTGTCGACAGTTAGTGTTTCGCTGTATGTGGTCAATGGCTTCCGTAAAGCTAGTCACTGCACCTGAAATGTCGTTGTTTCGGTACCGGTCCTTGCCCTGATCCCTGTGGTGGTCTACATACGCACACCCAAACTTGCCCAGAACCTCACCCTCCCGCCCGCTGATCTGTGGCAAACCCTCGAATGGCTGTTGCATATGTTGTGCACCCGCATTCACATCCTGGCCATGTCCTCGCGCCGCAGCATCGTTCAGGACAAATTGTGCCCTAGCCTCCGAATCCGCCCTGCTTCCGTATTTATTGGACCGCCTTCCAGGTGCATCTCCAAACACCCCACGCTTCTCTGCCGCGGTACTTTTACGTCTCACATAGCCACCGCCTCTGCCCCGCGTCTCCCCGTCACGCCTGACTGCCTCATGGTCCGTGTCAGTGTCAGTGTCAGTGTCCACCGACCGGCTGGCGTGGGCTTGCAGTGAGGTCTTGCTCTCGTCCGCACTCTCACAGTACCGAACATGTTCTCCGCCGCTCTCGTCTCCGCTGTGCGGCCTCCATTTGTATTCCGTGGCTTCTCCGTGGTTATGGCCATGTCGGTCGGCTGCTTTGTGCCTACCGTCTGCCGTGCCTGTGTGTATGTGCGGAGTGGGTTGTTCCCGTGCATGTGCCTGTGCGTGTGAGTGTGCATTGCCATATACCGGAGAGTGGGGTGCCTTAACGATAATGGGGTCCGGTGAATCTCCACGAAGCGACAGATTCCTGATCCGCTCCTTCGTTCGCGCGTCAATTGTTGTGTTGACACGTGCACCCGGTGACTCGGTAGGCGTAAAGGTCGACTTTGGGCTACTGATATTGTGCCTGCCTCCGCTACCCATACCCCTAATGGCCACCCCAGGGCTCGCTTCACTGTCACTGCGTGGCCATGCCTGGGTGCTGCCCTGCGCATAGGCTTGCGCGAGTATATCAGACCCTACAGGCGAGTCGGAGAGATTCGAGTACATCTCTGCATCTCCCGAGTACCTGTCTACATCCCCTGTATCCCCCATATCTTCCTCCTGGCCTAACCCGCCCAGCCCCTGTCTGCCCTGTCCCGCACGGTTGCTACCCACTCCGTCACCCCTGCTACTTAGTCGCCCATAAGCTGCCAATGCCTCGAAAGACCTCTGCATCCCCCCAGCCCGGCCACTAAGACCACCTGACACTCTCGTACCGTTATGGCCGCCGATATTCGTGTCCATGTGCGTCTGTGCATTCATATGCTTATCTGTTCCTCTGTCCCCTTCACGACGCCATGCCCCCGCCACGTTATGAACCTCTTTGTCGCTCTGTGCCAAATTGTCGCGCTCGCGTTCACCCCTGCGGCGCCGCATGTCCGTGTCTGTGTGCATATGCGCAGTAGTGGAGCGCTCATGCGGTGACGATTCCGGCGTCACATACACCACGTCCTCGTCCGTCATGTAGCCATTACCAAAGTCCGCGTTGGTATCCGTAAACCCTTCTGCAACGTTCTTCTGCTGCTGTGTGTGCAGGAAAGGCTGTGTCTGTGTGGGGTGATGGTGTTGGTGGGTAGCAGACTGTCGCGTGGGCGTGCGTGTCACATCCTCTGGCGGGCTATCTGGTATGACCTCCACGCTTAATCCGTCGCCGCAGATGGATCCGTCGTCGTTGGTGTAGACGCTGAACGACGTGTGGCGCGCAGGACTACGCGACCTGCTGTACGGATGTACAGGCGACGGAGTGCGTGTATGTGCGCGATGTCCACGCGGGTGTGTGTGTTGATGCGCGTGTATTCCCACGGAGTTCTGTGACTGTCTCCGTGTCTGTGCTGGTGTCTGTATCTGTGTTTGTGTCTGAGTCTGAGCCTGTGTGTGCGTGTACGCTTGGGCCCGCCGAGAGTCTGCGCTGTCCGGGCTGCTATGTGACACAATACTACTGCGGCTTAGCCCTCGCCTGTCACCCCGCAGACTGCCACTCCTCGATTGCGAAGGTCTATACGCATTCGGTTGCGTGTCTATCCTCCCACGACCAGCCACAGGCGACGTCTCGTGTGTGTACGTAGCTACAGGCACATCTTCGTCGGCGGACATAACCACATCGTCGCCCTTTTCGCCGAAATCGAGGGCATTGGGCGGTCCATGCACCCGTTCGTCACGTTCAGGTGCGTCTGGCCTGGGCCTGGCTCGTAGTCGCTGAGACGCAGTCCCCTGATGTGCTCGTGCGTATACCTGTTGCGCTTGCTCTGCCTCTACACCCCCTTTTCTTGTATCACGCTCTCGTACGCCTGTAGCTTCGCCATATCTTGTGTGTTCATCTGCCCCTTCCAATCCGCCTTGCGTCTGTCCGTCCCGTTTCAGCGGCCATATGCGGGGCAACAGTTTCCCAGCCTTCTCCGCCAACTGAGACCCAGAGCCGGAGATACCGAACATCGAGTACTCGCTCGACTGGGAATGCGCTATGTCCGCGTAACCACTTGGGGGCTCGTATGTATCCCGCTGAGCACCCGCCGCATCCGCTGTGTCGTGTGTTTGTGTGGTGTCTTTGAACCTTTGCCTTGACATAGGCATGCTAGCCCGATCGTCACGCTTGGGTTTTTCTCCGGACGCACTTTGTCCTGCATAAGTGTTGGTAGCCGTCCCAAAATCAGTGGTGGGGCACGCGTTACCGGCCCTCTCCTCCCCAAAGACCCTACCGCGACGCGACCCCTCGCCAGCCGAGTCATTGACCACTCGCGATGGATTAGTCCCCATCGGTTGATTCAGTAGTGAATCGGGTGAAGCCCTATCTGAGGAAGAACTACCGTCGGAATAACCTGCAGGCAGTTCCCTCTCTGCACTGTTGGGTCTCGAGGACGTCTCCAGTCTGGGCCTGGAAGTGGCCGTGGTGTGAGTGATGAAGGTTTGCACATCGAATAAGGATTTGATGTTGGAGTTGGACCATGCGCGTTTGTGGGGGTGGAGTGAGTTATGGGGATGTCGTGGGGATTGATGCTGGTGCTGGTGCTCTGTCGTAGCTTGTTGTGATGTGTATGCGCCCGTGTCATAACGGGCTATCTGATCCCTGTCTCTGTCGCTGTGTGTCTGCGCCTGTGCCGGTAAGTGTGACGGAACTTGTGGCCGTGTGTGGGATTCATGCGGTGCGTGTGCGTGTGCGTGTGACGGGGTGTGTGTACGCTCATGTAGCTGTGTTCCTAAGTGCGTCCCTGTGGTTGTCGCAGCCATCGGCGGAGACACACGTGCTTTCCCAAACGAAGTCTGTGACAATCGCCCGGTAGGAAAAACCACAGTCTGCTTACCTGTGCCTGAACTCACACCGGCCACCCCAACGCCACCCGTCTCCGCATCCATGCCTGCCCCTGGCCCAGTCCTCTCTCGCACGCTGTGGTGGAGTGTCTCGGAAAGTGGGCGTGTATTGTGCTTGGTCGCGTACTTGGTGGGTGTTCGGCGCGAGTATGAGAAGTCTGGGGTCGGTGGTAGCGATGGCGCAGGAGGTGCGTCGCTATCAAACCCGTAGTCGCCCACGTTCTCCAGATCGCCGAAATCACTCAAGCTGCTCACGCTCGAGTATCCGCTCTTATCCTCACTCGCTTGGATGTGGTTGGACGGTTTGGTACTGAACCCTCTGACTTCGTGGGAGTTGGAGTGTTTGGTTTTGGTAACCTCATCGTCACCGTTGTTGTTGTGGGGTTTGGGAACGGACGCAAATTGCACAGGCACGGAAGTAGGGCCGTGGTCGTGTTTGTGTGCGTGTGTATTCGCCTGGGCCTCGTTCCTGCGATCATTGGCTTTACTACCGTAGACCTGTGGTGGTGCGTGTATATACGAGTTCTCAATTGAGCTTGTACATGTACGTGCAAATTTGTGTGGGGAAGAACCTGTCTGTGATACTTTAGGTGCACAATCCTGAGTGTAGCCTTCCGCACCAGGCACACCTGTCCTCCCACGGTCTTCGGGGCAACTATAAGCACCCAGCATGCTCGTCGTAGCAGCCTGCGTCTCCATCGCACCCACGCGTACGTTTGCTTGGCGTACGTTTGCTTGTCCGTGCCTGTTCTTGCTTTGTCTCCTGGCAAGCGTGGCGGCGCTATGGCCAACCCCATGGGCTATCTCTGCGTCGCCCTCCGTCTCACTGGCGTTAGAGCTTGAGCTGTGGTTACTGCTTGAGGACGTTGTACTCGGCGCGTAGCCTGCGGGGAAGTCCAGTGTCGCAGACGGGGGTTTCTTGTAGCTGTGTCCAAACACAATCTTGCCGCGTCGCCTCTCGCGGCGCTTCCTATCGCGCACGGCCTTCGGCTGTCTACGCCTGCGCTCTCGCGCGGAGTGTGCCCCCTGCGACGATGTACTGTCGCGCATGCGTGTAAACGACGGGCGATTGGGTTGGAAGGAGAGGCTCTGGGGCCATATCTGACCGACTATGGGGACTGCATTCGTATGCAGCTTGCTTTTAAATGAGATGGTTGTGCGTGCAGCCTCCTCAGTGCTTCTCGATTTAACCGTGTACTCGGCCGTGGCGCGAGTCTCGTGATACACTTGCGTGCTTTCCTGTGCCGCAGCTGTGTCGTATATAGCCTTCGCAGTGCAGTGCGTGTGTGTGTGCGTACCATGCGCCAACGGCACAGACGCGCCGCTACCGAGCTTCTCTCCGACTCCCTCCTCGCGACCCCAAGAGCTCGGGAATGGCGCCGCAGGCTTCACACCCGTAAATGCTGTATTCGTTAGATTGTGTGCAGGTGCTTGGTCGTAGCCCTCCGCCTTGAGGGTCTGTGTGTGGCCTTTAATAGGCGCCTTGTCCGCAGAGGTATCTGTACGCAAGTCACACGCACCCACTGGTGACGATCCTGGCTGGGCATCGTCATAGCCACCGCTGTCTTCGGACATTGGAGCCACGTCTGCATCTGAAGAGCGTGTATGCAACAATGTGGTCACCATGGAAACGAATGGTTGAGGATGCGACAGTGGTATGTAGATATATTGAACGGCTCGGGCGTAATCATAGTGTGCAGGCGTGGATCCTCGGAATGACCAAAACCCCACACCCGAGGCAATGGTGCTGTCGATAAAATACGGAAACCCGAATACATAACGGCGTGTCTGCAAATACGTAAATCGCATTGGCACAGGTAACACAGGATAGGGAAAGCGTGTATCACACCATTATTCATGGGACACGCACAGATACAATACACGACTGCGCTCGCCATGTGGCCGCGCACAAGGCAAAGAGAGCCGAATGCTTTGTATCCGGAACGAATGACCGTAATGCAATATAGCGTTGAATAAGACACACACACTACCCCAAAGTGTGCTCACCAGCAACAAGCTATGCTCTTACAACCACAGCCCTTGCCCCACACACTTGCTACCTAAGGGGACAGATTGACAACTGCCCTAATATATAAAAACGCACATGCAAACAAACTGATAAGCTGTGTACCTGACCACCCAACATATATACAATACAAATGACAAGAGCTCTTTCTAGGCTCTGAACGCCGCTAGAGCCTTCAGCATGAACGTATATCACCCCACTGTTGCCATAGCAACCCGTACTCACCTGCAGTTTCATGATTTTGGCCGACAACAGGTATCGATCGCTCATGCACATGTTTGTGCTTATCTACGTTTACTTGTGCTTGGGTGTCCGTTGGTTGGCTTATACCGTTTGGCATCTGCGGGTCTGTATGAAGAGATGTGTGCGTACCGAACTTCGCGAGAGCCTCAGTACATTCATCCTGTGGTGTGCGTTCTGTTCCAGTCACTTCCGCGCCTGTCTGTGTTTCGTGTTGCCTACTCTTCGCGTGTGCCATAGGTACATGTCTCGACATGCCATGTGTGTCTTTCTTTATGTGCGCGTGTGTGTGTGCATGCTCGGGTGTTCGTCCCAGGCCTTGCGTACGTACATCGCCAGTTGTGTGTCTTGAACCCAATGCATTCGCCCGTCGCTCAGCCGCATACTTTTGTGAGAATCTTCTAGTGGAGAAATGGCTTCTATCGGAGCTAGTCCGAACTTCAGCGCCGCCTAAAACGCCACCGTGAGCGTCACTTGTGACAGCTACATTCGCCTTCGGAGCGTTCCTATCTGCAGCATTTCCATTAGCGCCCTCTAACCTTCTTCCACGCAGATACTTGCCTCCTTGAACAGCTTCCGTTGTCTCGTCTCCCGCTTGTGCCGCTCGGTTCGCGTCGCGCTTTTCCCCGTTGCTCGACAGGCCACTCAAGCCTCTGTGTGTACCCCGCATAGCCTCCTCCGTTGTCGGCGCATTACCAAACACCGCAGATGAGCGCTCAGCTGGCTGTTGCACGTGGTGGTGTGTGTGCCTCCATGACTCTTTACTCAGTCGTCTACGCTCCAATTCTCCCGAGCCTTTCGGTTTCCCAGCTAGGCCCTTTGGATTGGCTTGTGCATAATCTCTGAGGGTTGCGTATGTAGCGTCGTTAACCTTCCTGTGTAGAGGCATGGATTGTGTCCGCCTTGACTCAGCCGCACGTGACGGTGCTGCCCCCTTCAGCGGATTGGGTTGGTGCAATTTACGGTCGTACTTGGAAATATGTGGCGCAGGCGTTGTATTACTCGCCTTGACATCTGTACTCCTATGGGAATTAGTTTCATTGGGTGCTCCGATACCACTCGTCTCAGCAGTTCTAGGCTCAACTAACGCCTCCTTCCTCGACGCTGATTGCCCGGGTCTGTCATATCTGGATGTACTGTGGAGTTTATCCTCAGATGGGTTGTCATACATGTCCCTCAGTCCGTATCGCGTTCGAGACACTTCATAAGTACCACTGGCGCTACCAGCCATGCGGGCGCCGTCCGGTTTGCTATTGGGGTGCTTATCTATAGATTTAAACACGCCATCAGTCCGTTCTTGGCTCTGTCCTGTATTTGTAGGTGAGGTGCATCGTACCTCACCTAAATATCCCGCAGTCTCACTGGGTACTGCAGGAGCACAGAATGAACTGCGCATGTGTGTCACTGGCGCTGCGTTGCTATCTGGCTCTATGTCCGTTGGTAGGCCTGTAGTGAATGTGTCACCTGTCATGAATGTGGATTTGAAGGGTCTGGCGAACGGTTTTGGTGACAGCCGCCCACCCCAGTTGTTTATACCGGTCGACTTATCCGCGTTGGGACTACTGCGCAAACCGGGGTTTGCCTGCGTATGACCTTTACTTGAGGCATGGCTGTCCAACTGATGTCTACGTACGTACTTCATTGAGAATGATTCGTGTGAGCTCACTTGCACATTGGTACCTGTGTGTGCGTGTGTCTGCATATCAACATCTCCAAATTCAGTCGCGTATGTGCGCGAGCGTGTGTACTTATGTGTCATATAAACATCCCCTACCGCTCGAGCGTCTACATTCCATGACTGCTCTGCCCTGCTTACAATGCGCTCATACTCGGTTGCTGTGTTAAAGCCCGGCTGCCGCCCAACATCCTCGCTATCTCCGCCTTCACGCGAAGCAACTGGCGAAAACGTTGCATCTCGCGATTTTTCCGTGCCTCTAGTACCATTTCCCTTCAATGTATCTTCCGCAAGATATATACTTCGTGAGCTGAGCCGATTTGAACCTCTGTGTTTGCTTGCCATCGTAGTAGACGTATCGCGTTGGTACGTGTCTGGCGTTGCGTGTGCTTCCATCCGCGTGGCCCTAGATGCATCAGCTGACCTGTGCTCGCCGCTCACAGCGTGCGCTGGAATCGACATGCGCTTGTCATCACGTGCACGCGGAGGCGATAGAGCTCCCACGCGTGCAAATCCACTAACGTGGGTGGCTGGGCCGCTCTCTTTGACATTGTCGCGCGGACTGAACTTTGCGTCAGAGTGCTGGTGTTTACAACTACCATCTTCGCTTCTGAGTGCTTCGTTATATCGTTCACTCACGTTGTCCATGATGTTGCTGCTGCAGTGCGGACTAGGTGCATGATAAGAAGCATTTCCTTGAATGTTGTTGGTGTGCACTGGACTTGCACGTGCAATAGGGGCAGCAGGCTGTGCATTCTCCTTAAACTCTGGTGACATCCGGAACGGATATTTCTATAATGTTGCTACGGTATCAGAACCAATGCATAATTGAGATGTTCGGAATCATCTGTTGCAACCAAGATGAGCTTGAAGGTTTGTAAGTACTACAGAAGTACTAAAGCAATACAAATGATTCCAACGTACACAGCATCACCAAGAGATGTAGAGGGGTACATCAATTGAGATGATGCTTAATTTTTATTGTTGCCTATGTAGTTTCAGTGTATGCGTGACCCTTATCTCCCTCACTGAGCGCTGTATCTCTGTAGCTTGGCCATATATGTCAGTCGTGGTCGTGCGAATTGTATGTATATGATGCGTAGATATGATTTATTATCCGCAGATTGTATAGTTTTTTTACCCATATACATTTTACGGTCACAGAGGAACTCGAAAAGTGCGCCAAAATCGCGATATCCTAATCCTAACCTCAATACGTTCTACGTTAAAACGATATATACGTTAATATCGTTTTCAACGTTCTTATCGTGATAGCCCCCTATGGTTATCGAATCGGGTGCACCTTTAGAGCCTTTAGGTACAAAGCCCCATTTATATTTTTAATAGGTCATTTTTTTTAACGAATTGTTGGGGCTATGTAGTAATGTAGACCTGGTCTCCTGGGGGCTGGGGCGCTTCTCACAAATTGATGATGCGTCTGTAGGAGGGGGGGCTAAAAATTGCAAATACCTGTGCTGGGGTGTAGTGGTACTAAAGATCAATTGTACTGCCAACAATACCTCTATACAACTGCTCACAGATACATAGGCAAGATACATAGACACATAGATACATATATACATAGATACTTAGATACATACATATATACATAGATACATAGATACATAGATACACATGCCCAGGCAACGTTGGTAACAATAGGCATGGTGTACTTACAAGGTACTAGTATGATGTTGATGTACACCATGTGTGTATCACGTATCGTGGAAGCTGCACCTCAGGTATGCCTTGTCCTTCACGACTGGATGTTTTATTACAACCTCTGGCACACTCACGATTGCGTACATGTAATATAATAACGTAGATATGTAACTTCTGAATTCGCGTATATGAACAAACATACGTGCATCGTACGTCATGCTAGTCTTGTTCTGCACATAAGTGTGAGTGCACATAGGACATTGCATATAGTCGTATCTGGCGTTGATTACAGCTACGTATTCTTCCAGAGTTTCACACAAACCTGTTCATCGGGGGATCTGTATTGCGCAGTGATATACTCGTGGTCACTTGCTGGAGTATATACCTACACATACAAATACACATTATTTGCTTACACATACTTACATCACATAAAAACATCTAGACTCGAACAGAACGCAGGAAATGTCACGATAGAGGCAGCACTATATGGTGGCTATATGTAGCGGTTTTCACACGGGTATTTGTATGCTATTATATCGCAGACATACGATACAACACTTTTTCTTATAGATACAGTCAATTTTGTCAAGTGTATATATGCAAGCCTTCGGACATCGACGCATCGCACACTGACACTGGTCACGAACATGCAAGCAAGTTTGCAAGTTTTGTCACGTACTCGTGTTTATCTATATATGAAGATATAGGTGCCTTCTCCGGCATTGAATATATGAATTTTCGCTAACATCCTTGTATATGTGGCTCACTATCTCACACATATACGCCATTAAATTACATTCATTAAAATTCTTGAACTTCATCGTATGGATCGTGTACACAGCAGCTTGTGGACCATGTAATAGTCTTAGGGATCGATGGTCTTGGCGGTGCCAAGGCCGAGCAACTAATGAGTAGTGGAGTTATGCCGAATCTCGCCGATATCAGAGCGAGTTCTATTTATAGCATGCACTGCAGAGGCGACTTCCCCACATCCAGCGCAACCAACTGGCACGCGATTATGGCGGGTGGGTGTGTGCATGTGAGTTGTGTATCTGTTTTTATTACGTGTGTACTCGTGTTGCTTGTCCTGTGCATATGCGCATGTGTTACTTTTACGTGTTTCTCGTGTTGTTTGTCGTATGTATAGACACATGGGGTTTGCATATGTTTCTATTACGTGTGTTCTCGTGTTGCTTGTCCTGTGCATAGACATAAGAGGTGTGTACATATAACTATTGCGTGTGTATTCATAGGGGTCTGTTTGTGCATTTGAGAGTGAGGTGTTGTTAGTGTGTGTATCTATATCTGTTTGGTGTGCACAATGTGACCTGCTTGAGTATCTAAAAGTAAGGTGTGTTTCTGTATTCATGCTCTAGTTGTAAGTATGTACATGGAATGTGTAGCGTTTCTGATAAGTTTTTGCAGGGTTGATGTGTAGGGTTTTTGAGAAGTTTTTTCTATACTATCAGTCCCATGCATACCAGCGCGAGGTGTCACTCATGAACACATTCGATACCTATTTCCCTACATGCACACTATGTACTTGCACATGCTCAGAGCCCGCCCTGCTCCGGCCCGTATTTGAATGTGTGCAATATACTGTATCACTGCATTCATAGACTGATATGTTCGAAATCCCACGAAGCTGCTGCTGCTATACTTAAACCGCACGTTACCTGGCAAGGTCTTGGGCCGGCTACTGTGCACATTAGCATAAGTACCAATCAACCCAGCACCAAGCTCCTACTAAACTTGTACAACAAACCTCGCACGCTCACAGGCGCTTCCGCCGAGATGACTGGCGTGGACTCCAACAACTGGCTCGCCACCCAACCGGATATAGCCGATGTCAATGGTATCTGCCACAACACACCCACCATCTTCTCTCTGTTACGCTCGCAACGTCCAAATGCGACGTCTGCGCTAGTGTCCGGGTGGGAGGCATTGCTGGGCATTGCATATCCCAAGACAGATATCACACACACGTACGTATGTTTGAAAGGGGTTGGTGTCGCGTTGGTGTGGGCACGTTGTGGTGGGGTTAGGATCACGCAGGTGTTAGTTCTGTTTGAGGATGGATGTGGCATTGTTGATTGTTGGCTTGTGGGTATAGTTTGTAAGGTTGTGCGTGGTGCTGGTTATAAGGTGTACGAAGTCAGAGCTGGGGACCCGGCGAGATAAGCTGTAATGATTCATCTTGAACGATTACTAGATGGAGCTTCATTGTCAACTTCACATCTTGTACGCGCGACTAGGTGCCCTGAAGGCATCCCATACACAGCTAGCACACCCTGCCAGCTCGATGCATCGGCTACGTGTTTAGGCTGGGCTAGAAGCTATACCGCACACACAGCGTGCTTTTCCATTACTGTGTATATTCCAATACATGCTGTCATATTTCTCTGTGTTGATTTCAATAATCTCACCTAGTTGCTCTGGTTCCCTCTTCCCTATCTCTAAACAAGCTATGTGTTAGTGACGGATTGAACTACGTTATGACTATTGAAGTATCAGGTATAAACGGTTGGTATAGCTCACATATGTGCCGTAGTGATACTGTCGTCTGTTAACACCGTCTACGCTGCATCGGTACTCCCACTTCGCAATCCCTACCATGCACCATTCCCACTAAGGTCACCGCTATGAAGCATTTTACCTGTGTTTGTGTTTGAAATTAGGATCTTTTGTATTTAAAACACAGTTTACAGCCACTGTGTTGGGAAGTAAGGCTCGCACCCAGCGCAGGGGTTTCTAAAGCCTATTCTTCCTATCATAGATACCAACAATTGGTCCTTATGACTAGGATCACCGGGATTTATACTTTGTATATATTCAGTGCCACCTCGACACATCCCTGTCATTGTGATCACTCTGTCTCGCTTTCGCGTTGGTGGCCAAGTATTGTTACCTAAAACATACGATATGTCATGCGTTTTACTTCTTCCGAACATTTTGTAATATGCATTGCCTAAGACAGTACCCATCCCATATGCATTGCTTGCGGTATCCATCCCTACGTACGCCCTACCTGCAGAGCCAGTTATGTCGCACGTATCGCTTCTAATACCAGTTGTCTAATACACAGAGTGTACCATGAACATGTGGAGGACAGTGCCGATGAGATCATCCGCATTCTAAGCGCGGATCACCCGCCCGAGTTCACAATGCTGCAGATCAACGAGTTGGACGAAGCAGGCCACGGCCACGGGTGTGTATAATGTTCTCGTCTTCTTATTGGTGTGCGTATATGTGTGTGTTTGTGTCCATGACGCACTACATATTCTCTATTATAAGTGGGGTAGATCCTGTCGTTCATGCTCCATATGCATGACTTCTGATACTTGAGTCACAAATTAATCTTAACTGTGCTACTGCGTTGGTCCCATTTGCCAACTTTGGTCTATCGTGGGTGACGGTCTATGAGTGATTGACAGATTAGTCTTGAAGTTCCGACACTGCTTTTCCGACGAGAACATACGTTTTCTATCTCGACCGATAATTCTTCTCATCGCCCAAACATTGCAAGTACTTGATAGTATACTGTGGTGTTGTTGTCAGCCGATCCAGTCCGTACTAGAGGATGTACGTATGTACACTTGACCATATTAGTTTGGCGACCGGCGATGTAAACGTCTGCCCTTACTGCGCATGACTAGCCTTACTGCACGGCCATGCAGATGATTTTCAAATCTTCTGGTTTTAAATCTGGGGCTTTCATTCATGTGCGTGTTTTCTAAAATTGGGCATGAATAGGCTTAAAAATCTCCGACTTAATACTTAATGTATGTTTCGTCCTCCTTTTCGCCACAGCTACGGCGATGAGTTCAATAAAGAGGCTGCGCGGGTCGATGTACAGATCGGTCGAATGGTCTCCTTCGTGCAGAACAGCACGGTCATGTGGAAAAAGACTATGTTGCTAATTGTGGCGGATCATGGCAGAGAACCAGATGGTAAGTCGCGGCTGGCAGGCTACCCGGCACAATACCTGCACTACCTAATTTGTATCGTATATCTTATATAATAACCAGTTTGGTTCGGTATTTGCGGTGACATGTATCCTGTGTCGTATTGTATTGCCTGTGCAACTCAGCATTCGCGATTGACTGTGACTGGTGCTTTATGTACAAGACACTTCCGGTTGAGAAGGTCGGTGGACGCTATTGGCGAATGTGGCGAATGTGGCCAATCTAAAATGGTTGAAGGTATATATCCCAGTGGCGAGCTATAGTTGATTGCACTCATATATGTCATGTGTTCCTAGGCCATATTCATTTTAAGATCAACCCACCCTCGGGCTAGATATCATGTTCAGTTGGCGCTAAGTCCAGTACTTAGACACCCCGCACGAAGTTATTGATCTATAGGTAGTTTATTCCGGGTCTTCTATCTTTCCCAGGTTACAACCACGGAGGATTAACCACTCTCGAGCTAGAGACCATGTGGTTGGCACTAAGTCCAGTGCTCGACACAGCGCACGAACTCACACCAGTGGGCCGCAGTTTAGTCACACCCATTCGATCGGTGGACACAGCCCCGACCGCAGCGTATGCACTCGGACTGGAGATCCCAATACAGTGGAGAGGTATGTTGCGCTGTGGATAAATGGGACGAAACGTATACATATGACCTGTACATCTCTGTATAGTGGTGAGATATGTTATGTTGTATTGAGCTGTGAATGAGTGTATGTATCGGTTAATAAGTGTATATATTAGTCTGTTTACTTGGACTGGCGATCCTTGTACAGTGGCGAGATGTATGACAGGCTGTTGAGCTATGGATGAGTACATGTGTATAATAGTATGTTTATGTACTTAAACCGTGCGTCTCTATGGTGTGACGATGTGCCATAGTGTGTTACCTGTTGCGGCATGTGAGTTGGAAGTTGTATGTGAATTTTCTTGGTCTGGACATGTCTATGCAGCGGCAAAGTATGTCACGGTGTATCGCGCTACGGTTGTGTGGGGCTTTGGAAGTGCATGCACATAAGCTGCTGGATATGTCTACACAGTGGTACAGTATGTAGCACTATCTGGCTGTAGTTTGCGTGTTTCAAAGTGTAGATAAATTACATCAGAATACGGATTGTGTTTGCAGTACAAGGCAGTCGCGTGTTGTATGCATATGCAACAACTCTATATATACACCATTCTATCAAATTCTCTAGGATTACCTTGTGGCGAACTAAGTTCAAAACAACAATAGTACGAGCGCGAGCAGGTGACATTGGCGATGTTCTTCTGTATATGAGCTGTTTACGCTATACAGCAAGCGTGATCTAACCGCTACGAAAGGTAGCGATTCTGTGTGCCACGAAGCAGTCGTTGGTCCTTGCTGATGACGCACAGCAAACTCTCACAAAAATAATCTCCGCTACAGATCCCATTATAGCCGATGCCTTGATCGAATACTACCTGTATTCACACGCACAAATGCTTATCGCTACAAGTCCATCATATCTATAACCGAGACCATAATCAACAATCAAGTAGACATACAAATGCGCAGCGTTATAGCTCTCAATATTTTGGAAACTATGGTCACATACTACAGATACCGCACGCATGCAAATGCGTATCGCTGTATGTCACACCATATATACCATGGACCATTGCTACTGGTGAGAGCATATCCGAATGTGTATAACAGTATATATTGCCATGATCAGATATCTCAGGTGAGCACACATACAAACGCATGTCCTTTTAGTCTCATACTGACTAATACAGGGTCGATTATCACAGGTCATCCAGTACGTGAGCTGTTCAACTCATCGAGTTTCGGGCTAAACTACAAGTGGCCCCCCAATGACAGGTATAGGATTTTGAATAAGTGCAGTGCAATAAACGTACATTTTGGACACAATTGTATGTATATATATATATATATATGTATATATGTATATATGTATGTATGTATATACATACATATATATATATATGTGTGTGTGTGTGTGTATGTGTGTGTATGTATATATATGTATATGCATATATATATATATGTGTGTGTCTGTGTCTATGTCTGTGTCTGTGTCTGTGTCTGTGTGTCTGTGTCTGTATATATATATATATATATATATACTTCTTCGCCTATTACTTATGCACATCACACAATACACATGCGAGCGTCTTTGGAGGTGCAATTCCCACGTCGAGTGTTGTACTTGTTGATATGAAGTCGATGTTGGTACAAGCCCGGACGGGATAAATGTAGGTATATTCTTTCCAGATCGCGTATTATTTTCCGCTATACATGCATCACATACGCCTACGGCCCTTGCAGGTGTGATGCTCAGCTGTCGGGTGTAGTGCTATATACCCACCAACCGTCGTATGTCCTGGGGCTGTGGAATGGCGTTATTCTGACATTCTCTGGTAAGTAAGCTCGTGTGTTTGTATTTGTGTGTGCGTTTGTATGTTTGTGGGATCATTTGTGTGTGTATGTTTGTATGTTTGTGAGATCATTTGTATGTGTGTGTATGTGTTAGTGTGTGTATGTGTGTATGTTTGTGAGATCATTTGTGTGTGTGTGTGTGTGTGTGTGTGTATGTGTGTGTGTGTACGTGTATGTATGTGAGATCTTTTGTGTATCTGTGTGTTTGTATGTTTGTGAGATAATTTATATTTATATATATGTGTGTGTGTGTGTGTGTGTGTTTGTGCATGTTTGTGAGATCATTCGTGTGTGTGTGTGTGTGTATGTGTATGTTTGTGAATTCATTTGTGTGTGTGTGTGTACGTGCTTGCACAGTGCTTTATTCTGAAGTGCCCATGGTATGGCATTTGCTGAGTGATGCGCCACACACGCAAACAAAATAGTACAAATTCACATAGTACTGTGTTCACGCTGTTTTCTGCTGGAATTCCTGTGCCTGTCTTAGTTCACACGGAAAGTTGTACGGGCGATGACGCTGTGGTACGGCTACAGATGATGGCACCCTCGAGACGTATACGAACCATCGTAACACCTCTCAGATGACAAGGACACTCTCTGATGCGCATCAAACGCCTCCACAGTGTTAGGACTAGTCGTGTTCTTCATGCACGCGATCTCACTCATGGGGTTCCGACGGCTGCCATACATACGCATTGGGTATCACACGGGACGTGTCGATACGAAAGGGGAGGACGGGTCCTTTGCTATGCGACTGCTGTCTGAGAGCGCCGATTTAAATGCTGTTGGAGAGGTATTCCATGTGTTCAGTGACAGTCTATCCCCTGCAATATACCTACTAGAGTTCTGTTTGCGATTCTCAGTGCGCATAAACAAGGACCTATACGGCTTACCATATGCGCTGTCCGACCTCTAGTCTGTGGGAGGGTTGGTGTTGTGATTGACCTCTGGGCAAGCCTATGTATGTGCAGGACGCATAGCTTATTGTATGTCTCTTCGCAATGGGAACGAGTTGTGCCGGGTGTGAGTTTATGGTCGTATACACACTATAGCGTCTACTTGAAAAGTGATCATGTGCGCTATGTGTCGACCGCGTGTAATCTGTATGTACACAACAACAATATAAGCCTGTATCAGATATAGTCTGTTGGTATGACTAGACAACCCAATGTATCCTGATCATCTCAGAAAGCATTTGGGTATATTACCGCTCTGAGAGAGATCAGCTGTACACACCCTAGCACTCGACTGCATTCCCGAGTGCATTAGCTTGTGATACAGAACAGACACCATGCGGTAATAGAGAAGCTTCGGGACGTATGCGGCAAATGCCACTTCAAAGTACAACGACACTCATGCTGCACCTGAGCATCAACGACTTTGATTGAATTATCGCCACATGTGCGTATTAGCACCCAGCTCTACGCCAAGATATGCTCGCACAGGTAGAAGCTTCTCGATCAGTTAATAATATACTTGTCATACCAACGCTATGCAGAATCTCGACGACGCTTTAGGTGAGGAGATGGATGACAACGAGCACTCGACCGGAACAGCTTCTCAATCATCGGATGGTCAAGCGCGCACGTGCTGCAGTGCGTTCAGAGACATTCGCTTCTACACGGACTGTTTGTTCTTGCTGCTGTGTATACTTGGGCTGGCGGTAGTCGTACCCACAATGATGCGAGTTATTTGAGACCTCCTAGTCTAGCGAATGCACAGCCATAGTACCCGCCTTCAATTTGCTATGGTGTGGAGTGTATCGCATATACAACCATAGTATTATTGAGGTCAGATAACAGGCCTGTCCAACACCTTAATATGGCGGATATTATCGATGGAAGTTTTATTTTCCCCATTTATGGCATCTTTCCGACTGCTGTACGGTCGGATGTTGGCCGTATAGCCTTGCCACTGACAACCGCGAGCTATTGATGGGTTGCTTTGTGCCAGTCAGTGGGATGGTCATAGACGTTATGTTATACCGCTATGCTATACAATAGCATTAAATATCAAGCAGTGCGTATACTACACCTGTATATGAATATGCGGACGCTGTACGTACCGCAATTTGTTACGCGACGGTACGGCACGTCCGAAGGACTGCGCCGCAAGGGAACTCTGGTGGACAACTCAGCACAGGTGAACGTTGTTACAAAGCAGCAAACACACACACAGGCTTTACGTACGCGTACACACACAGAAAATACGAACGTGTGCACTACAACATACACTGACACCGCAATATGCACTGAAACAGCGATGTGCACTAACACTGCGATATACACTGACGCGTACGCGCGAACTCATGCTCGCAGCCATACGCACGTGCATGTGAGTCAATTAGTCATTGATTCATATCTTCGGATTTCGGCACCAACCATTGTGGAGGCTACATGCGAGTTTGAGCCAGCCAGTCTTGAATACGCATGAGTAGATAAAATTCCTTTCCAATACATAGAGATTTTATAGTATCGCAGCTGTGCGATGTTTCAACGAAGCATTGATATATAGA